TATATTTATGTTTCTACCTCATATCATGTGGTTTTTTTTTGAATCTGTGAGAGCACGTCAATGTGCGTATGAGATAAAATAAAACAAAATAAATCTGGGCATAAACGGAACCACACGACCAAAATACACCTGTATAATGCGATTTTGCGAGTAGCTCTTTGCCAGTAGTTCATGTCGTCGTCTTTGGCTTTAGCAATCTTTCTCACTTGCCCAACTCCTCCAAAATAAGACCAGAACGCCTCATCTGTGTCCCAGTCAACATCTACACATAGTCATATACGGCTAATTTTTTTCACCATTCATTACGATTTTTCTCTTACCCAGCACGTTGACATGGGTTTTATAGTGACGTTCCACTTGGGCGATGTGGCAACCAAGTTCCATACCCTACAATCATTTGATAATATTTTTCCACCAATAAAAAATTCAGAACACCTTGATTCTCTCTAAGCGACCGCTTTCCGGAGGCATCCAGACATAAAGCTCCTTCCCAGCGTCTAGAATGAAAACGTCTCCAAGATTCAGCGAGTCGACTCGGCAATCTACCTAAATTATTTTCGAAGCTTAGTCAAAATGCTATACGAGGTCATATTTTATCTTGTCAAGTATAATCTTAAACTGCAAATTTCTGGGGCACAGTCTACAATGAGTGCATCATATTGTCTCCTTTTAATGAGTAATGCTTCTGGTGCTCCTTTTTTGGCTCGCTAACTGAAATATTATAAAGTTTGAAGTGGTTCCTCCGCGTGACGTTATCAACATTAGTCTCCCGATCTAGTTCAAACATGTGTGAAGAGCTTACCACTGCTTAATGAGCGTGACAGTATTTTCCAGAAATGTATCATCGGCTCCCAGAGTGTGGAGGAGCTTTGAGCCGTGCTAAATCAAAGCGTGGCGGTTTTTGATAGCAATAGAGTACAAATAGCAATGCTATAACGTGGAGGTTCAGCAAGTTTATCCATGTTATTAGAAGAGAAACAGTACATCTCCACACAAATCTGCGAGCCGACAATACTTAAAAATTTTTTTCCAAAGAAGCGTTGTACTCTTGTCGCATGCCATCAGATGATCCTTGCATTAAAGCTTAATG